CATAAAAAAATTTTTATTTACGTGTATAAAATTGTAAAACGTAATACAAACAAAATTAATATAAAACTAAAATTATCATATTACTGGTGAATTTCACCAGAGGTAAATTCACCCCTGGTGAATTAATTTTAAATTAACCACTGGTGAATATAAAATTAATCCATTTTATAATTATCAAAGAAAACCCATTCGTAGAATTTTAAATTTATGACATAGTGATAAAATTATTATGCCGCAGACGATTTTGGTTTCTTTCATTAATTTATCATTGCATTGCAAGGATGTAAAAAAAATAAATCACTCAAAATAAAATCTCGATATACTCTTCAACTGTGCAGCGTCACGTTATGACAAATTTATATCCCTGAATCATGCGTAAACATAAATAATTATTTTTTGAAATCTGATAAATCACATGATAAAAATTTTTAATTCACGGATAAAAACTTTAATTCTCTTTGGAAATAAGTTCATAACTTCAAACAATAAAGTTGCGACTCAATTAAATCTTAAACTTTATATTATCATCTGTATTTAATTAATTTCATAAACTTCGTGATATGAAATATCGTAATGGTTTAAAGAAAAAAAAAATCGAAACGAGGTGCAAAGTGGTATTACTATCACTTCCAAGCAATTCCATCCAGCAATGTGGTCCATTGAAATATGTTCCTCCAAAACAATTTATTGAAGATAATTTTGAACTTTGCGTAGTTAAAGACTTAAAGCCAAATATTATTAAGAAAAAAAATTTAGATGTTTCTTTTGGTTGCTGAATTTAAATAATATTAAAATATTATCTAGTACTTTTGAACGAATTGTCTGTATTAAAAAATAAATTATTAATTTTTTTACTAAAAAAAATCTAAAAATAATTTTTCCGTACTGAGTTAAAATTAAAATTTAATAAAAAGACTCCTCCAAAAAAAAAAAAAAACCTCTTCATCGCGAAATCTAGTGATTTGTTTCTATTAGAACACGAAATAGATATAATCAAAATACAAATTGTAAGCCTAACTATTTCGTCTCTAATCCACTCATAATCTAATAAGAAAGTTTATTTATCCAAAAAAAACTGAAGATAATCACAAACTTAATAAAAAGAACCAATTTATCTTGAATAAATGAAACTTATATATAAAGGTTAACTTTGTTACATTTTCTTCAGTGAATATCAAAAAATTCTAGAATCTGAATTTGGAAGAATTCATTCAAAGAATTCTATAGTCGAATCCTTTGTTGAAATGTCGTGCGTCTGCATGAAACCATTGAAGTATGTATGACAAAATTTATGTAAATGGAAACACAAAAATTCCTATAAATTCAAGCAAAAAAAAAAAACTATGGTTCGTTACTCGTAAGCGAAAAACTAAAAAATTATTAATATCAATAATTTTTCAAATTCGAATCTTCTCCTTACTGAATTAAATTATATACAACGTTAGTTCGAAATTTTGGCCTTTAAATACACTCAATCCTGTGCAAAGCGCAAACTGGTCAATAATCATTACATCTAATCTATCTTTTTCCAACTTGAAATTTTTCGAATTTTTTTTTTTTTTTTTATCTCATACATAAGAATCATTTTGTTCGGCTGGCGGTTTCGGTTTTGGTTAATCTATAGGTACGGGCTATATTTCACCTGGGTCTTTGACTTGGCGTTTCAGTAGTAGTGGTCTTCTTATGGTTTTTGTGCCGTGAGTTTTGCTTTGTTGCACGTATTCTTCACAACAAGGCCTTCTTCCTGGATGTATCCACTGGTTTGAGTAGATTATTTAGCGATAGTAGTTTAGTAGTATTGTTAATTTGTGATTCTTTATGTAACTGTGTAACTCAGTGATTAAAATAAATAATTTGTAGTGAAGTAATAAAGTTGTTATACTGCAAAAGATTTAATTTTTTAAAATTTTTTTTATTGTACAAATCATATTTGTGAAATCACACTTGAATTTTCCTTATTTAATTTTTCAAAATATTTCGTCATATTATTACAATTTATTTTTCACACGTGCTTGAATTATTTTTTTCCGTCGGTTATACTTTGCATACTTCGCATACTTCATATTTTCAATCATGTTACCAAATTGGTTTGATTTAATTTGTGACTTTTACCCTTTTGTTCTTCAATCATTTTTTATATTAAACCATATATATTTATTTGGCTCATTTATTTATTTTACTTCTATTTTTATTTTATTAATTAATAAATTACAAAATCAACTACAAAGTCTTGAGCAGAATTTTAACATATGAGAAACTTTGAAGTGAAATTTTGGCTGAAACGAGTGTGACGCTGTTTTTAGATTTTTTATATTATTTTCTGTTTTTATAAAACATTCAACAGTTCATAAGATTCGAGTTGAAAAGGTAGGTTTTAGGATTTTTCGAGAAGTTATCTGATCAAATTTTAATAGACCACGTCAAATTGTCAGAATTACCATAGAAGTTTTAAATTATTTACAGAATCCATCCATTATTCGGTTTTGAACAATTATTTGAGTTCACGCTTAAAATAAATATTCAGATTTTTAAATATGCCTAATCCCTATAAAAAATATAATATTGTATTTTAGTATGCAACACAAATTTGCATAGGGCTTCTAAGTTCAACACAAAATCATCATGCAGGCGATGGAATTTCGTGGTGATAATATCATTCTTCATCTATACAATGATAATCGTGATCTTGATTAATTTAATAAGTACTTTAACATAAGTAAGTTATGGGTTAAATTCTTTAAGCGCAGGGAACTAGAAAATCGATTTTTAAAAAATAAATAAAATAAAATAAAATAATTTGATGTATCTTTCCCGATGGATTACTTCAAAGAAACTGGCTGATTTATTATTATCTGGATTAACAGAAAGAAACCGAATTTATTCTAACCAAAGGAACCCAGATTTATTCCTACCTAATCCGGATTTAGTTCTTAAAAAACAATCCGGATGAAACCCTATTTAAACCATTTGAAAACAACAATAATTTTGGCCGCTGATTTTGGCACAGCTAAATACCAACACTGGCGTATTTTTAAATAATATAATAAAGACAATCTTTAATTTTTATTAGATATCAATCATAGGTTATTATATAGTTATCCGATGGAAAAGTTATTACAGGTAAATGATTGGCTGAAAATAAGCCACTTCGTGGCTTATTCAGCCAATCATTTACCTGTAATAAGTAAATCATTTTCCATCGGATAAATTTTATGCCTCTATGATCATGTTTATCAATAGCCTAAATAGTCTAACAAAGTATAATTTTTATCACCTTTTTTTCTTTTCTTTCGTTACCATTTTTTTTTCTTATAATTATTTTCTTAATGAAAGTCAAAAAGCAACTCCTTAATAAAAATAAATCTACATTAAATAAGGCAAATATATTATATATTTAACTATTGTTTTCAAGGAGGGTAATTTTACATTTAATAACTGTACTTTTGATTTTCCACATTAATTAGCTTATATAATTGATAATGTATATAGATATATTTTATTGCATGTATAATTAATAATAAAATAAATTTCATATTCGATATTGCATATAAAATACTATCGGATAACTATAAAATTTTACTATACATGATCCTATGGAATATCGGATATAATAACATATATTGAAAAGTGTAAAATTTAATAAATTTATAATTTTTTAAAGAAACTCATCTGCAAGATTTCCACCAATTACAGCAGCAGCTTCTGTAGCTATAAAGCCCAAGATAGGACCAATTACACGCTTATCTAATTTATTTCTTTCTTTAAATATTTCACCCGAACCACGTTTATGATAAGTACAAGCCGGAAGATATAAATTTTCAAAATCATGATAAGTTCCCCAAATTTTCTTTCCAATAGAATCCTTCATTCCATGTTCTTTGATGTAATCAGCGTAGAATTGAGCCATCTTTCTCCAGTTTGGATCGCAAAAGAACGAACCTGGTACACGAATTTTTTCGCCATTTCTTTTGAAAACGTTATGGGCATCGTAACTTACTTTGGCATCTGGATCGCATTGAGTTTTCTCCATCATCCATTTAACGAATTTTTCAATGAATTCGTAACTGTAGTAATCTATAATAATAATAATAAAAAAAAAAAAGTTAATATATTTTATATATTAAAGGCATTTATAATTAAGGTGTATACTTTAGAATTATAGCTTACCACCACGATCATTCTTAGCGCAAAGTGCTTTATGTTCAGGAATTCCACCGTAATAGGCGATTAAAGTAAGATAAGCGGCATAAGAATTTTTATCAAAATTTTTAGGATTATCACTCCAATCTAATTTAACCGATAATTCACGTTCACATTCGTTTTGAATTTCGCCATAGATTTTTTCAACTTTTTGATGATCACATTGAAAATCTTTTTGACAATAATCGTCCAAACCTCTTTTAAGTAATTTAAAATCATAAAACTTCAAATTTGCATCATTAACGATCTTAGACATTCTCTGACTAAAATTGATAATGGTACCACATTGATCGGAACCATTAAGATGATCCCACACTAATGATTGACATTTGTTACATTGATCGGTATTGAAAAGATCTTGACAGGATTTGGGAGATTTACGATTTGGCCGTTTGTGACATTTAAAATTTTCATTGGCATGAACTTGAATTATAAAAATTACAAATAATGCAAAGAGGAGAAGTTTCATTTTGCCTATTGAATTATAGATACATATTATTTCGATCTTTTTATTATTTAGAGGAAGTATCTCGACGAAGATGTTGAATATGGAAGAATTGGGTCCTTTTTATACTTATTTATTAAACCTTTACGCGTGATCCCATAATATAGCATAATATGTCAGGTTTTCTATATATTAATAGAACTCCTTTTAGCGTATAAAAATGCGTATACTTTGTATATTTTAAACATTTCCGTGAATCTTATACACAAGTTATATGCCACTGAATAATCGAATAACGGTTTAATACACAGGAATTTTTTTTTTGGATTAACCCATTGAACGTATTTGAATTCTATTACTACATTATTATTTTTTTTTTTTTTAGAAAAAAAAAATTAAGCTTAATTTAATTAAGTTCATCCTTCGCCTTCAGTGATCGACAAGAAATTTTTTTTGGAACCGGTTAAATTTAACCCATAATCAACCGATTAAGGTATAGTTTCTGAGTGGCGTTCAAGTTTAAACAATTTGTTTGATCTGAGGCTTATGTGAACAATAAAAAACTTTTTAAGAAAAAAGTTTTTTAAAAATAGAAATAGTTTTAAAATAAAAAAAAATTAAACTTAAAAAACTTAAAAATAAGAACGAAATATGTTTTTAACTAAAATGAAAAAAATCAAATCGGTATTACCAAAGTGGGTCTAATGATGTAATTAATAAGGGTGACACAGCCACTACGATTTTATTCTAATTATGTCAGAAAATGCAATATTGCATATAGGAATATGTTTTTAAAGAGCGTATTGCGATTGCTATTGCTATTATCCCGAGATATCCATGAATTGAAATGAAAAATTGGGGCGTTTTTTTTGAAATCGATCTAACCATAATTTCCCAATTTGAATGATATATTGTTTTTGGATGAAGCTAAATTTTTTAAATCATTTTACAAAACGAAAAATGGAACAGGACACCGAGTTATACATAGAAAGGGTCTTGGTTATTGCTTAGAATGAGCCACCCGTAAGAATGGAAAATTCATTTAAAAAATCACCTTCCATTTTTGATCTATTGAAAAAATAAATAAAAAAAAAAAAGTTTAGACGTCAGTTTTTTGACCAAAAGTTATGGTCACGTGATAAAAATTTGTATTTTTATTTTTCAACTTTAAAATAATTAATAAAATACACCAAGTTTAATGCACACATATTTTTATTGATGTATATTAGATACTATTATTACTAGATAGGCTTTATTAATAAAGAAGCTACTCTAAGAACATTGTATTCTCGTTATGATCCCTCCAAATCGTGGAAAAGTTATTCTTCTTGATGTCCGCAGTATACTGCGGTTAATAAAATCTGCAATCAAATACGTTCAGATCTTTTAGAATAGATTAGCCCTGTTCATTTCTAGATCGTACTGGATTGATCACAAAAAATTTGTACCCCAAAATAATTGGTTACTGATGCGGTCAGTGGTCAGTCAAGCCGATCTACAAAAATTGGTGTTTTTCCCTGATCGATTTTATAATAAACATAATAAACAACAACTACGTGTTTTTGCCCTATAAGCTATTATGGATATATAAACCAATCCGATCAATCAAAAATTGTAACTATGATCTGATTGGTTATACATTTTTTCGGTCAATCCGATACGATCTAGAAATGAACAGGGCTATTGTAACTCATTCTTGATCGAAATTATAGATTCCATAAATATTATCTTTTCACAAAAATCTTTTCAAGATACATCATTAATTTTCAATTTCGAATATTGGTTTCCAGTTTTGTATAATCTGTTACTTTTTGAATAAACTCAGCAAAATTTCTTCATTTTACCAGTGATTGTAAATCTCTGCATTTACCTATTATAAAAAAGAAGAAATTGTTAATAGTGTGCTAAATTTTTATTTAATGGTAAAGAAGACATAGCCAATTCCTCCTTTAGAATTAGCAGACTTTACCAATAACAAAGTAGGATGTTGTCTGCTTGAGTTGGTTATTAAGTGAACAAAGAAAAGAAAAAAGAAATAAAAAAAAGAAATAAAAGAAAAAAAGGAATAAAATAATAAAAATAAAATAAAAATAAAATAAAAAAAAGCAGGTAGTAATTCTCCTAAGTCAACCTTGTGAACTCCCCGACTCAATTGAGTAATCCATTCTAGATTTTCCTAGGAGTTACCCACTTTGCTCACCTTTACCCAACCCAAGCAAACAAATCCAGTACCCTCCTAAGTAAAATTTGTGAACTCCCCGACTCAATGAGTTATCCGTTCTAATTTTAGCTTAGGAAGTTACCCACTTTGCAAATAAAAAAAACACATCTCTTTTAAAGTCTCTTGAGTTATTTTCCACTCAAGAAAGAAGGCCTTTAACTTCTGTACTGTGGCTCTCTATTGTATATGGCTTAGAAGACTTTTGCAAAATTTGGTAACCTTTGGTATCTAATGATTTTACAACAGATATATATATTGTTTGAAAAAGTATGTTAATTATACGAAAAAGTATGTTAGCTATACGAAAAAGTATGTTAACCATATGAAAAAATATGTTAACTATACAAAAAAATATGTTAAAATGATAAAAGTATTAGCTGATAGTTGTAAAAGAACAGACAATCAATATAATGATCACAATGAGCCTAGAGCTTCGAACGAGTCGAGTCGAGTCAAGTTATATGTAAACTCGATTTGACTCGAATTAAATTGAGTCGAGTCAAGTCGAGTTAAAATTATAAAAAATATAAACTCGACTTGATTTGAGTCGAGTTGGCCCGTCAAACCAAATCGAGTCGAGTCGAATTAAATCACGTGATTTTATTCGGCTATGCCAATCATTTCCTTTTTTGGTGATAGCCATTCCACAAAATTCCATTTTTGTAACATATGGGCGCATTTCATTAAGTACATTTTGTGATATAACCTGATCTGTACTACCAAAATACGTGATAACTCGAATTTAAATCCAATTACCATCTCGATTAACGAGAAAATTTTTTTTTTTTTTTTACTATTGAAATCGCAAGTTTCAGATTAGTTGTAGATTAGTTTGAAAAGGTTAATTGCGAAATCAAGAAAATATTGGAAGAAGTTGTTTTTGTAATATTTGTTGCTTTTTTATTTTTACTTTTAAGTTGAAAATTTTTAATAAAAAAAAAACAAAAATTATATAGATAACGCTCTAATTATCCTATGGTAAGCAACTTTACTTTCTTTGCAAATAATATATATGTTTAATAACTTAATTATTAAATATTTACAAATAGACTACAAGAATTTTTTACCATGATTATCCTAATAATCCTTACATATATGCTTAGTATTTTACTGGAGGAAAGATTTTTTGCTCAAAATATAAGATAATAGCACTTGGACATTATCCACAAAATGTCAAGTATATACAAAAAAGTGGTCGAAGTGCTGTTCAATATCAAATTCCTAATGGATACATCGTAAAGACAGAAGTTGCAGATCAAATGCTATATTGTGAAACAAAGTATACTTTGGAAAATAAAGTTTTATATACTATTACATGAAAGGAGGGACAAGCAGAATGAATAGTATCTAGTGAGCGGTCTGCTAGTGGTGCTGTAAATGCATTTTTAAAGGTATTATAATTAATTATTTGCAAAAAATTAAATTAATATTAAAATTTAATTTATAATACCGAGAAAACTAAATACGCGTTTTTACACGTTTTTTATTAATTATTACACATGAATATAGAGAACTAATGTGAGAAGTCCAAAATTTCTGGAATACATGTTTTTGGATTTGATATTGAAGTATTACATCAAATACGATGAGATCCCCCAATTCCCTCTGTCATCAATTTACAGAGTTGCCACATCGAACGGGCATTCTCATGGTCGAACGAACGAATAAACGAACGAACGAACAATTAAACGAGCGAACAATTAATCAACAACATAATCAAACAACATAATCAACGAACAACATACAACAACATATAACAACAACATTCTTGGTTCACAAAATAAATAGCGTTAGTAATATAAAACGTCGAACGATATAAAATAAAATTTAACTTCTCTAAATTTTCCCCAAATTATATCCACTTTTACCT